AGTGAAACATGTCAAGTAGAAAAGTATTATCTAGCATTAGTTTGAATAAACTTCTAAGGACAGGTTTTATGGTTCACCCAAAAAAAGAAAAGCCCTTCCCTCTCATTCACCTGAAACAAGCTTAAAGAGGATCCAGAAAGGCAAACACAACTCTAACTGCAGAGGAGACAGAGGGAAAACACAGAGATCATATTTAGAAGCATGTATCCCTTGCCACTATTCCATCTTTGCACATGAGGAGCCATGCTCCGCATCCACTGCAGACACTGAGCTCTCCCACTGCTGCTCTTTGTCCCCAGACAGGCAAAACCCAGCAAGGAACAGAAAAACTAACAGAATACTGCATATGTGAATTTCTGTTAAAATTGGAGATCAACCTCATAAAGAAAACTTTTAAAGACTTTTCAACTTTACTGCCTATATCTTTTAAATTCAACATACTTTTCCATTCTATCTTCTACACGGTCTGGGTGAAGGGGAAGGGAAAAAGCTGTTCTACATTCATTTAACTTATTTGCAAGATTCACTTGTAGCAATGAGGTCTTAATTAATCCCCAAAATCCTGCTTTAATTGCAGTATAACTCCAGTGTAAAATGGCCTCTGCATTTAATTATATTTCTGAAAGATTTATAAACTTAATTTCAGATTATTTTAACTCACAGATAAGTTTTAAGCAGGTGCTTTATGAACAAGGAAATGTGTGGATATAAAGACTGACTTCTATCCTCTTGAAAACCCTGCTGTAAATGGTATTACATCTACTGAAGGGCTCTTTCTTGAGAAGAGCACAAGGAAACCAGGCCTGAGCTCCTTTCTTGCTGTGCTAAAGATGTTAAGTAAGGTGGACAGCAAAAAACTGACTTATGAGTTCATTATTTCTCTGTTTATTCAAATTTGTCTCATTTTTCACCAGTACTTTTGCACTAAAACCAGTGAGTCACGACTGATTACTTAAAACAACTAAGTTATTTTAAAATTTAAATTAATCAAATCACCAGCAATCTGTGTCTTGGGCTTCTTATTGCCACGCTCCCACCCCCTGCACATCAAATTCCCTTTGCTGCCCTTTCCTGAGGGCACAGCTCCGCTGTTACACAGCTCTCCAGTGAACACCATGCCTTCCCCTGCACAAAAAGCAATCTCAGAGCAATTAAATGAATCATTAATAACCACAGACACGCTGCTCTAGGAAGCAGAATGCCAAACACCTGATAGAACACTTGCTGCTGGAGGAGGCACTTGCTGAGGGCGCTCACTGAAGTCAGCATTTTCCCATTTGTGCTCCATTAGGAATCCTTTTCCTCCAGCTTCCATCGCTCAAATACCTCTACACATCCTCACAGAAACTCACCTTCCAGACTGGGATTTTGTTCAAGTGGCACTCATAACTGTAAAAGATAAAATACTGAACTGTGAAAGCTAAAAATAAAAAACCCAAATAACCCAAACTGAATAGATATTAATTCCTTATATTACTTGCATTATGAAACAATGAAACTCATTCTTTTTCTTCAGGAAGCAATAATTGTCAGTAGGCCCTCACTGGCTGTAAATGTAGACAGTTGTGTTTATACTGTTAAATTATGTTTTAAATGTACTGATTTTTTATTTTAAATGTCATAGTCACAGGATAAATGTGCCTACTTTTCAAATAATTATTCTGTGCCAATTTCTTTACCAGGCAGGTACTTCTGATGGCATATCAACTCCTACAATAACTTGGATTAACTAATTAAATCCCATTATCTAGTAAATTCAATAGAAAGCATGTTTGCAATGTATACAAATAGTTTTATAGCTGGGTTTCATCCTTTTAATTTTTTTCCCACTCTTGTAAAGTACTAACCTGAAAAGATACACTCTTCAGCAAAGTGCTCTGCATGCACATATTGAATAGCACCAGAGCTGCCACATGATGTTCTCCACAATTATTGCATATTTCCGTATTATAGAATAGAAAATATTCTGTATTATAGAATATTGGATATTTCTACCCTTCTTGTTGTGTACAGGACCACATTCTTGTCACATTCCCTGCAAACACAGCCCACAACCTTTTTTCTCTCTTGATTGATAGATGACCTTGCATTTAGCTGTATGAAAATGTGCATTGCTTAGGTGGGATGGAAGTTTCTAGAAGTGATCACCTGTACCATGACAGCAAGGCTTGGTTTCCAGCAAGACATTTAAAAAGAAAATTATATTTAAGGATGCTGTCTCCTCCTTAAATATAATTTTCAACTGTGGCAAAAAACCAGTGAGTTTTAGTAACATGACATAGACACACAACATTAGAAAAATTTAAGGTGTGCTCTGCAGACTTGTGTTCTGCCAGCAGGATCAGTGTCCAATACCCTGCACAGAATTTCATGTGGCTCACTAAGTCACACCATCACAGAGTGGTTTGGGTTGGAAGGGACCTTAAGGATCATCCATTCCCTGTCCCCTGCCATGGCAGGGACACCTCTGTCACTCTGATATTTTCTGGAAAAATCCTCTTTGCCCAGGACTTTTCTCCTGAGAAGCTGAGAGGCCTCGGAAAAGAATGTGAACAATAATTACCTGATTGATTTGGAAGGTGGTCTGGAAGTTGCTCACCAACAGGTGCATCTTTGATTGGTTCCATGTGAATTGTTTTTAATTAATGATCAATCCCAGTCCAGCTGTGTCGAGGCTCTGAGGAGTCACAGGTTTTTTATTATTCATTCTTGTCTGGCCTTCTGATGAATCCTTTTCTCTTTTTCTTTAGTACACTTTTAGTATAGCAAATATAATATAATATAACATAACATAACATAACATAATATAATATAATATAACATCTCTAATATAATATATCTAATATCATATACCTATATGATAATAATAATAATAAATAAATCAGCCTTCTAAGAACTTGGAGTCAGATTCATCTCTCACCTCGTCCTGGGACCCTCACAAACACCACACACCTCCCACTGTTCCAAGCTGCTCAGAGAAACAGACCCTCTAAAGGGGAAAAAATAAAATCAACACATTATGTACTGTCCTGGCTGTGCAAATCCAACCTAAAGGCAAAGAAAAGCCTCATTTCCTAAATGAGGGAGCATTTACACAATCCTGTATGCAGTCATTCAGTTATCCTAAGAAACTGCGCCTTTGAATTTAGCTGTGAGAAGCGTGGATTTTAAACAGTGTTTTAAGCATAAGGAATTTTAATGCTTTCATATAATTTCTGAGGTATCAATTCTGCTATAATAATTGGATGGTCTTTCCCTGAAGTGTGTCCTGAACAAGGCACAGCATGGCACTACAACTCTTCTGAGCCTATGCTGGAGGCACAATTTTTCAAATCTACAAATGAAATACATTCCAGTATGAAATCTCAGCTAAAAATAGCCTTAGCTATTTATATTTAATGTTTGCACAAAAAAAAAAAAATCTGTCTATTTAGGGTACAGTGTGTTGTTTCAAAGATGACAGAGAGTAAGCAATATTATTTGAAGCGGAATGTTTTATTTAAGCAGCATGTATAATGAAGCTAGTGGAAAAATTTTGAAATTTCAGAAAAGAATGAAATGCCCATCATCATTTAACTGTTATTTCAGGTTTGTGATAGATGTCATCATCTATTGTATTTGGGTGGTGCCCCATGGCAGGAAAGAATGATGAATGTGACTCCATGTTCTTAGAAGGCCAATTTATTATTTTATGATGCTATATTATATTAAAGAAGACTAAACTAAACTATGCTAAAGAATACAGAAAGGCTACAGACAGAATGCTAAAAAGATAATAATGAAAACTCGTGACTCTTTCCAGAGCCCTGACACAGCTTGGCACTGATTGGCCAAAGAGTTAAAACAATTCACATGAAACCAATGAAACAATCACCTGTGGGTAAACAATCTCCAAACACATTCCACATGAGCAAAACAGAGGAGAAGCAAATCAGATAATTATTGTTTTCCGTTTTCTCTGAGGCTTCTCAGCTTCCCAGGAGAAAATCCTGGGCCAAGAGATTTTTCCAGAAAATATGAATGCCACAATCATCTATACCTAAGAAACACAGTGTATGACTTACCTTTACTAAGGAATTAAATATCCAGCTATTTCACTATATTGTGTATTAGACAGTGAACCTAAATATCAACTTGTGTCAGTATGACCCAAAAAACCACCAGGAAGTCATCATTTACATCAACACAAAGAGGATGCTTGGTCAAAATCAAGTTCAGAATGATCCAGTCAGTTGCTCAGGAGCCAGTGTAGTGGTCATTTAGCTGAGTCAGAAATTGCATTTTTTCATTCTACCAACCAAGTTTCAGACATCACAAATGAAATCCTGGTACCAATTTGATTATTTAAATTAAGACTTTTTCCTGAAGAGATGAGTCAGAGGCCAAAGAAGTTGAAATTTGTACTATTTTCCATTCATTTGTAGCAAATAAAACTAGAAAACCAGTGGCCTCTTAAGATAAAATATAAACCCCAAACTAAATTTAATTCATAGTAACTAAACAAGAAATTATGTTGAATGTTCTACAGCTGAGTATAGCCCCCAAACAGAAAGCTAGTGTTAAGAGTGAGCCTTTCCTAAAATAATTTAATACTTACCTCTTAATAAATGATCACCAGCAAAGGAGAATACTTCATAAGGCCCACAACATTGCTTTTTTGATGGGTTAATTATAATTCCATCAGCACCTAAAAGTTGTAGAGGATCTGTGCAAAGGAGTTATGGCTGCAGGAAGAAATTCAGATGATCAAGTACAAATCTGACTGCTTTACTGTAGCATCCAAGTGCCAAAAGTGGATTTTTCATGACCCTTTTTTCACACCCAAGACACGGGTATTATTTATCATTAAACAACCAGGTGATCACTCAGACATAAATACTTACTTTAAAAAAGATAAGAGTCCATTTACAAACTCCTGGACAGAACATGGGACGCTGAAGTCAATTAATTTCAGAATTACCTCTTGTTCCAATGGCATTGATGCAAAAAGTTAGCTGGGATACAGAAACAGATATATAAACAATTCTTAGGTTAGTTTAAACTTACTCTAGACTAAACTACACATCTGAATCAGGTGTGTGAAATCCACCCCCATAAAAATATGTCTCAATTAGCTACTGAATTTAGACTCTTAATGCCAGGATTTTGAAATTAATCTAAAGGGAATACTATAAATACATCAAACCTGCAAATTTTATAAACTTGGTGTTTGATGCTCTTTTAAAAAATGATGTCTTTTTTGTATAATTAGTGACACTCATATGCATTTAGTTTACATTTTCATGCTCTATACTACTTCCTAAGCAAAGCACAAAGAAGCACAAAGGTAAGAAAGAAAAGTTTTCTCACAGCCTTCCTTTTATTTTTTCAGTTTGACAAATATCAGTTTGACAAATGTCCAGTTAGCATTCTGGAAAACAGAATTTCAGGAAATGATACAATCATATAATCATATATTTTCATTTAGAGTTTAATAGCAGCTCTTAGCTTGGCCGACCTTCCTCTTGGGTTTGTTTGAATATCCTTGGCCTGGGGTGTGAGAACTTTTTTGTGTATAGAAATCCACTTGGAGTTGGATTTTCCACAGGGAGATCCTTGTGTGTCTTCTCCTTTGGAGGCCTTTTTCAGAGCCTGTCTGATCTTCTGCTTTGAGCCAAGGTTGTGTTTCTCTGTCATGTCAATGCCATGAAGGAAACGTTTGATGATTCGATCTTCCAGGGAATGAAAGGACAGGGCCACAAGGCGACCTCCAGGCCTCAGGAACTTCTCAGCTGTCTTCAGCCCTATCAGGAGTTCATGGAGCTCATCATTCACAAATATCCTCAGGCCTTGGAAAGTTTTAGTAGCAACATGCACAGGTCTCTGAAGCAAGTCCTTCCGTGCGTAGAGCGCTGATGCTGGAAAAGCACCTGTCACACGTTTTAAAACATGCATGTTAATAACTTCTTATTTCTACATCTTGGCATCCACTCGTGCAAGATGACTTTAAAGGAAAGCATAGTCAAAACTGAACCTTGAGCAGTGAGCTTCCTTCTTTGCAATACATCTTTATTTTATGTTTTGAATTCATATCTCTGAACATGATGTCTATTAAACTAAAATGCTTTGTGGTTGAGTTTTTTCCCTAGAATCTTTTAGAGAAGTTCCTTCTCCAAAAGCATCACCAATTTAAACTAAAAAATAATGGCTGAAATCCAGATGAAGGAAAAAAAAAAAGATAGGACAGACAAGTCTCACTTTACAGCTCAGTGTAATCAATGTCAGTTTGGAATTTGTGGTTGTGTTACACTTTTAAGGAAAAAAAATTAATGTACAATGGACACAATCTTACCTGTGGCTTCCAGATAACTGCATTTCTTCACAGGCTGAAGACAATGTCTGCCTGGCAATAACTATCTTTCAATGAACTACCTGAAGTTTAAAAGAGGTATCCTTGTTTGGAAATAGCAATTGTTTAACACTATGCCTGTGTTTCTTCAAATGTTCACAAAAACCCCTTGAGGAATTTAGAAAATGCAGCTGACACTGCTTTGTTTTCACGTGCCTACACAGCAGAATGTGTCAAGGTTTGTTAGACCTAAAATCACTATCTTAAATATTTTTTTATTAGATGCACAAAACTCCCTCTTCCTTTCCTCAAAATTCTTGAGTCAAGTTTTTGTAGAGACCAAAATTTTGATAGAAATTTTCATATATCAATATTTAATGTATTTTAAGCTTGAACTTTCATTATATGGATATAGAACAAAAAGCTAGAGAAGCCTGATTTGATGGATTTTAGAGGAACTAAAGTGCAAGAATCCTGTAAGATCTGTGAAACCCGAGTAAATTTACCATCTATTACCTAAGTGATCACATGAGTCTGGTAAAGCTAAATTTAATAAATCATGCTAGCACAGAAGTGGACAGTTATTTTTCTAAACAAGAGGCAATAAAATTGGTATGTATGCATTAGAATGCCCCAATTTCATGCCAGTGCTAAGTTACAACACATTGAAGCAAAGAGTTTGAAGTAAACACAGCTCACAATCAAGTAACTGATATTCTACAGAGTGAAGTGAAAGAGGGGAAGACTGTACCTCTGAAACTAGTTGTCTAAATTCAAATTTTCATGGGTGATTGAAAAAAATTAATAGAGATATTATTATTGAGAGGCTCTCACAGAAGAATTTATTACTGAAATTCTCCAGAGATTTAAAGGTAAGATTTTACTTATGTCAGAAAGCGTGAGTGTTCACAAATCATATCACAAACACAAAAGCAATCTCAGTCTTCAGCAAAGACAGAGGAAAATAATGGGATTTTAAAAGTCAGTTGTTATTAACACAGCTATTATCACATATGCTCTGTCCCTAAGATATGTTTCTGCATAAATGATTTTCCTACCTACCTTGCTCCTCTGATCTCCAAAGCTAACAGCTCCTCAATTCACTGAAGAGACCCCGTTGTAGCTGTGGCTACTTCCAATCCTTATAGTCTGAATGCCTCAAGACAGAAAGTGGCAACAGGATTGACTTGTCCCAGTCAAGGAGTGCACGTGAATTTGTGGCCTGAAGCTGTCTCACAAAACAATAAATAGATGCAGCCTGCAGGAGTGAGGCTTCTCCATCATTTACCAACTCCAGAAAAAGCTACACTAGCTGGTCAGTGTAATTCCTGTCCCTGAGAACATAACTTGCTGTACTGACCATGAATCACAAACAGAATGTGTGCTCTCATTGATGAGAGGTCACAAAGCTCGTTTTGATGAGAGACCTCAATTAAAAGAAGAGATAAAAGCCACAGAGCATGAGGAATCCCAAGAAACCCACACCAAGCTCGTGCCTACTGGCAGGCCTCTGTTTCCATGTCTCTTTGCACACCTAAAAATGGGTTCTTTGAAAATGGAGCCCTTGGAACAGCCACTGAGTGCCAGCTGTGTGTGATGAGAACTGTTTGACAGCATAAAGGAACATCGTGCCAGGCAAAATAAACACAACTTTGTTTAAAGGCCAAGTAACAGCCACCAGTACTGGTGGGATGCTCACATCTATGGAATGAATCAGATTAGAAGAAATTCTTCCTTTTGTGGGTGGGGAGGCACTGTAAAAGGTTGCTCTGTAGATTCCCCATTCCTGCAAATGTCCAAGTCCAGGCTGGACACAGCTTGGAGCTCCTTGGTCTAGAGGAAGGTGTCCCTGTCCATGGCAGGGCAGTTGGAACTGCATGGGCTTTAAGGCCCCTTCCAACCTAAACCATCCTATCCATCTAAATTCAACTTCCAAAGGCTTTGTAAAAATGTAAATGGACATAGTATGCTGATACCTGGGCAGGTTTTCATTGGTCTGCTCATCAGCACTGATATTTTGCAACTGCAGTGCTGAACAGATGAATAAAAGAACAATGACACTGAGGCTATTAGCATGACTAGGACACTAACACTTTGGGAGGTTCTTCCACTAATCCTGCCATGGCTGTTGGGTGCAGTTTCCTCCTACAATAACCTTCTATGACAATTAACTCTGACATTAATTTACCACTATGAATAATTTATCAAACACTGAAGAAAAATTAATTAAAGCCCAGATATATTCTGTAAGTATAACTCAACCTTACATGCCTCAGTTGAATACGCACAAAGAGCACTGCAGCTGCTATAATACAGCACAGAATACTAGTATTCAGGAAATTGGTAAAGAAATGCAGCCACTTTGCAGTTTTATGGAACCAAAACCTCCCAGACTAAAAGCAAAATCAAACTGTTTACATGTTCAAAGACTTACTGGTCTACTGTCAAAGACTGCAATTAACCCATAAATGGAATCTCTGGTTATTCCAATCTGGTTATTATTATATATTAAATTTAATTCAGGAAATTGGTAATGTTTATTATTATATAGTAAATGTAATTCAGGAAATTGGTAAAGAAATGCAGCCACTTTGCAGTTTTATGGAACCAAAACCTCCCAGACTAAAGCCAAAATCAAACTGCTTACATGTTCAAAGACTTACTGGTCTACTGTCAAAGACTGCAATTAACTCATAAATGTAATCTCTCGTTATTCTGATCTTTTATATATTATAAAATTACATATTAAAAAATTATATATTAAATGTAATTTCTGTCACACTGGTCTCCAGCTTTTTAGCCAAAGCAATAGATTCTGATCTGTGTTCCACAGGTGAAAAATTCCCCTTTCACTCTTAATCCTCTAGTTCAGTTAAATCAAAATCTATTTGTGCTTTCTGCTCAGGCACATCACTTCTCACCCAGGCCCCTCCAGTTACCAAGACACTTAAAGAAAATCCTTCTGGTAACTGGCTGTTCAATGCACAAAAACATTTTAAAAATAAAAAAAAAGAATCTGTATGGGAAGCTTGTAAAGTGAATTTCATTCATAAAAACACCATGTTTTTGGCTAGATGAGTGCTTTGGAATCCCAGTGAGAGAAATATCCAGTTTTAGTTTCAGAATGCCCTGATGATAGTTAACACTTTAAAAAAAACAATCTAATAGACTCTCACGTTGAAACGTATTGAAATTTGAAAAGCTTGTGAATGGAATCAGCAGTGTGCTGTGCCTGTCAGTAGGAACTATCCAAGTCCCCAGAGTGTGAGGGAGTGGGAGAGTGTAAGAATGAATCCAGAGGCTGCACCTGTTGGCAGGAATTCGTCTGTTGAATTAGCTCTGCATTTAATAAGTTGCTGTGACGCAACCAATGTCCTTTTGTCTGGGCTCCCTCAGCACAGTGCTAATTCTCACCCAGCTGAAATGCAGGCAATATTACAAATTCCAAACTGATAATTAAAGCCTGTAAAAGTGAGCCAGTCTGAAAGAAATTGACTTCACCAATTAAAGCTCTCTTTAAACTTTGAAAATTTTTTTAACATGTCATCAACTCCTTTCAAGTTAAGGCCAGACGATCACATGATCTCAAAATTGTCTGTTCATAGATTATGCGCCTTAATAAAGAAAAATAAATTTTGGACAAAAATGAATAGAGAAAAAGGTATACTGCCCCCTGAAAAGAAATCAAAATAGACCATTAGTTGTACAGGAAAAGCATATGAAAATTATATCCTAAAAATTTCACCATTTTTAATGAGTTTTCCTGCACATGCAGTCAGATCTAGTATTTCCAAATAGCTCAATGAGGTACAACAATAGACATGAGGAAGTGCTTCTTAATCAACTTTCACACATCTATTCACTACTCTTCTGCTAAGAACTACTGATGTTCACTATTTACAGAGCACTCAATGCTGCAAACAGCTCTGTGAAAATTACACACAGTGAGAAGAGTTCCACTGTGCTGCAGGAAAAGATGCTGTTCCCCAAACTCCTCCTACTGCAGATTCCACAGCTCCTAGAGATCTTATTTAACCAGATCAGAAGCTTTTTGGATAATATTTATAAACACCAGGAGGAAGACAAAATTTTTAATGCCGTTTTGTTTTCTTGGGGTTTTTTTTAAACTACATCCTTCACTTTTATCTCCCAGTGGATTAGGAACTGCAACATGTGTTCTAAGCTTTTACGGGGTGGTAGGAAAGACCAGAAATCTAGCATTCCATCAAAAGAAATTAAATTTTCCAAGCTCAGGTTAGTCCAAGTCTGGATTCACTGTGATTCTGATGATCAGCTAGACCTTAAGATAAAACTTGGCAGCTCTGGAACATCTGAAGCCACAGTAGTCAATAAGAGGAGAGAGAAATACAGGCACTACACAGATTCTCAGATGCTGACACCCAGCTTCATTGGCTAGATTGTTTAGCTTGTGTTCTGGTTCCTGTACCAGGCAAAAATGATGATCCTGCTCTGGAAGATAATCAGGCTTGCAGAGAATCTGCAAAATCTAAACCACAAGATTTTTCTCTTCTAATTAATATTTTATTTTTTAAAAGACATAAAATTTAACTAATAGGTCGCAAATCTTACTCTGGTCAAGTCCTGAATTAGTCAGTGGTTTTTTGGGCTGTGCCATCATGAGGTTTCTGTAGCTGTGGTCTCTGGCACTGTAGCTCTGGCTTATCACAATAACTTCATCAATATAATTCCATGTAAGAATATATGTTAATTACAGATGATAAATGAATCAAAATATTGATTATTTTGAAATAATCATTTATTTCAAAAAAATATAAAAATTATGAAAAATTTCCTTAAGGTTTTCTCAATCAGCTAAAAAACAGCTAGGATCCACCACAGTGCTTCCTTACTGGATAAACCAAATTAAAACTGGAGGAAGTTTTATGCAAACAGGGATCAGTGTAACAGCTCTAAAATTGCTATAATTACATGTGTACTCCCAGAAAAGCACACCAAACATACATATTTATTGTCTTGGATACCTGACTTGTGGATCAAGAAGCTCTGCAAACATAGCAGGGAATTTAAAGTGAGGACAAAAAAGTCCTTCTCATGGTCACAGCAAGGGAGCATCAACTGCTGGCTCACATGAAACATGACGGGATCTCCAATTGCTGCCTTGCATACACCTGCATTTTCATTCCCTTACTTTCAGCTATGGCACCAAATTATTTCAGAATTACTGAGTTGCTTGTGTGTAACAGGTTATCTCTTTTACACAGTGGGACATTTGCTTCCAGCTCAGGGGTAGTACATTGTCTTGTCAACACTATTTCAAAAAGCATGGAATATATATGACAAAGCCCACAATTGTTATTTCAGGATATTGCTAATGATGACATTAAAAATTTAAAAGCTTATAAAAGCCTCATAGTGCTTTGTCTCTTTTATTTTTTATTTTGTTTTAAGATTGGTTATATTCACTGTATTTACAGTAAGGGCTTACAACAGCAAGCAGTGTCTTCAGGTCCTTTTATCACATCAGCTGAACTTTGAGCCTTGGTTGACTGGGCTAAAGCATCCTGACTTCTACAAATCCAGACTTTCAAATTTCTCCATCGTTAAATTTAAGTGCCTTAGACTTCCAGTTTAAGTAATACAAATTTTTAAGAATACCATAAAATTTTTAATAGTCTTCAGGATACCAATAAAATATTTTACGCTGTTCTTTAGCAAATGTTAAATTTGGATTAGAATTTTAAAGGTCTGTATTCAAAGTCAGCAGTTTAGACTTATTTGTGACAAGATGTAGTGATTTTCATCATTTGGGTAAAAAAAAAAATAAAAAACATTCTGATGCTACATATTATGTTAATGAACAGGGTTTGCGTGTCTTATGAAAATTTTTACTTGAGAAAACAAACAAAGGTTCTTGATGCAAACACTGCTCCTGCTTAACTGCATTTTCTTTCAGCTGTTTACAGTGAGGAGCAAGGAAGATTAAGTGTTTCAATAGTCTCTTCAGGCTGATCTAGTTGGCATGCCCAAGGTGAAGCAAGCCATGTATTGCTTTGTGCTTACTGATTCTTTAAAAAGACAGAAATGATCTGATTTTACTGGTAATTGGAAACTGCCACGGTACCTCCCCTTACAATATTAAAATACAGACACTTAAAACTAGGACAGATATGACATATCTGGTATTTGAAAGGATCAATAGCCAGGATAAAGAATACCCAAGGCTGCTGTCATTCTGTGGTGTATGAAATGATAAATCACTTCATGTTAAATCTATTATTGAACTAATTGTCAAATTAAAATAAAAAAAAAAAAAGAAAAAAAAAAAAGAAAAAAAAAAGAAAAAAAGAAGAGATCACTCCAAGGACAAATAGATCTCTCTGGGACTTGACAGGGATTGTTTCCTTCTCTCCTGTGCAGAGTTAACAAGGGTACCTGTAGGGGCCTGAGTAAATATATGTATTGTAAATATATGTATGGCAGTAAAAGATTTCTGTATTGTAGAAGTGACCCTGCCCTGATTCTAGTTATTGTAAATGGGCTGCAGCTGTGATGTGCTTGATTGGGCAGCAGCTGTAGCCCGTGGCTGGGATACAAGGGGGTGAGGCATTCAGAGAGGGCTGGAGAGGAGCCCTGACTGAGAAGACAACAACAACACTGATGTGAAGATTACAACATCTGGTGACCCCGACGTGATGGGGAACACGCAGCCATAATAAAACACTGAGAGAAGGTATGGGACCCCCATACATGATAAAAGACAGGACAGCCGAGAGCTGTGGCAGCCTGAGAGCTGGGACTTTAGACTATAATGTGGCCTTTGAATCAAGGAGCTGTAACAGCAGAGAGCTGTAAGAATATGGCCTTTGAGGAAAGGAGCCTGGGAACATCTAGGGATTTGTATGTATCCTAGACAGCTGAGAACTGTGGCAGCCTGAGAGCTGGGACAGATATGTATATTGTAATTGTACAATTGTTAAAAGAAAAGGGGGAAATGTAGGGGCCTGAGTAAATATATGTATTGTAAATATATGTATGGCAGTAAAAGATCTCTGTATTGTAGAAGTGACCCTGCCCTGATTCTAGTTATTGTAAATGGGCTGCAGCTGTGATGTGCTTGACTGGGCAGCAGCTGTAGCCCATGGAGGCAGCTGGGATAAAAGGGGGTGAGGCATTCAGAGAGGGCTGGAGAGGAGCCTTGACTGAGAAGACAACAACACTGCTGTGAAGATTACAACAGGTACCTGCCACGATGCTGGCCAGCTGCCTGGTGCTGGTGATGGGGTAGATGCTGCGTGCCTGCACGATGGCAGAGGCGATCCTCCTGGCGTGCCGCTCCTCGCCGTACGCGCTCAGCACCGCTGCCAGCGACCGCCGGTCCAGCGCGTTCACCACATCCGCAGCCGTGGCCATGCCAGGACACCTGCACACACAGCAGCAATGGGTCCAGTTAGTGCCCTGAGGACAGCTGCCATGCACCAGAGGTGAGCTTCCAAGGAGCCACACACACACACTGCCCGGGAGGGGTGCACATGGAGGGGCCAGCGTTGTGCAAACAGCTTGTGCCTGCTACATCCCCTTCTCTCACTGGTTGAGGTAGAGTTTGTCCCCTAACTTCAGTTAGAACAGTTTTAATTACCTAGTGTTATTATAAACCATGCTTGTGCCTTTAAAAACCCTTTCTCTCACTGGTATAGGTAGAGTTTGCTCCCTAATTTCAGTTAGAACAGTTTTAACTTCTAAGTGTTATCACAACCATGCTTGCGCCTTTTACATCCCTTTCTCACTGCTGTAGGTGGAATTTGCTTCCTAACTCCAGTTAGAACACTTGTTGTTATAAACCATGCTTGTGCCTTTGAAATCCCCTTTTCTCACAGCTCCAATTGGAGTTTGTTATTCAACTTCAACTAGAACAGTTTTAACTAAGTTTGTTCCTTAACTTCAATTAGAACAGTTTTAATTTCCAAGTGTTGTAATAAATCATGCTTGTGCCTTCTAAATCCCCTTTGTCTTGCTGGTCTAGGTGGAGATTGCTCCTTAACTTCGAGTAGAAGAGTTTTAACTTCCAAGTCTTATCACAACCATGCTCATGCCTTTTGCATCCCTGTCTCTTGCTGGTCTAAATGGAGTTTGTCCCCTAACTTCAGTTAGAACAGTTTTAACTTACAAATTCTGTTATAAACTATGCTTGTGCCTTTTAAACCCCTTTCACTCGCTGGTCTATGTGGAGTTTGCTCCTTAACTTCAATTAGAACAGTTTCAACTTCTAAGTGTTATCACAAACCATGCTTGTGCCTTTTAAACCCCTTTTCTCTCTGATCTAGGTGGAGTTTGTTCCTCAATTTCAATTAGAACAGTCTTCACTTCCAAGTGTTGTCATAAACCATGCTTGTACATTTTAAAATCCCCTTTTCTCACTTGTCTGAGTTTGTTCCCTAACTTCAGTTAGAACAAGTTTTAACTTCCAAGTATTATCATAAACTATGCTTAATAGTTTAGAATAAAGAATTTATTGTATGTTTTCTCTGATTAGTAAACCCACAGATGATGTTCATAAAATACCCTGAACTATTTTATGTAGCCAAGTGACAGGGATATAGATACATAGATTGAAGGCTTACACTGTTTAAATTGTACTGAGTCCTGTAGTTTATATGACTAGCTATTTTCTATTATCTCAGGAGAGTATTTGTATATAGATTCTTATGCCTTTTAGTGAAAAGTAATGTTAAATTAAGAATAAATACCCTAGTATCGTGCTAGGGTGGAAATTATGTGTGACCTTTCTCTTTAGCCAGATTTAGAATATGAACTTGCCTCTTACGGGTTCATTTCAGCAACGTTGCATCATATGTTGTTTTTGAGCCAGAACTGATTTCAAGGATCTTTTATTTCAAATCTCCTGCTATGAAAACAATTGCTAATGAAGATAATTAAACATTACTTTTCACTAAAAGGCATAAGAATCTATATAGAAATACTCTCCTTAGATAACAGAAATTACCTAGTCATATAAACTACAGGACTTATTAGAATTTAAACAGTGTAAGACTTCAATCTATACCTGTGTATTTACATCTCTGTCACTTTGCTACTGAAATAGTTCAGGGTATTTTATGAGCATCATCTGTGGGTTTACAAATCAGAGAAAACATACAAACTACCTAATAAATTCTCTTCTTGGCTTTCAGGCATTTTTTAGTCCCCTGCAGTATCTCACAAAAGATAAAAAAACTTGGAGGCAAGTAGTATCATAGCAACAACCAGAGTGTAAGGCTTTTGTTATGCCTCAGGTACCCTTTGTTCTGAGGCTCCTGTTCTGTGTCTGTTTTCTCATGATGCATCCAAATTACACGTCAGCCTGGGGTTCAGATTCCCGGAATCTGAGGACTGAATCCCAGGAGAAACATGGGAGCATTTTGCACAGGACCAGAAAAAGCAAGTATCATGAAATTTGCTGTGTTAAAATGTAGCATTAATATGGTAAGCTAATTCCTTAGAAACTGAGGCTTCCCATTGGCTCTTGTGGGCAATGAAAGAACAAATGGCATTTCTTAAGACACCACGTTCATCAAAACACCAAGAAAAAATTGCCCTTCCCTGTCATGTAATGTGTCATGCAATTACAGCCCAGACAAGACAGATCTTTGGTTGCTCGTGCAAAAAGCAGAGTGCTACAGAAACACATCAGGTTGTCTGAAGATGAAAAAGACTGCATAAGTGGAAATTATCACTCCATGACTAATTTTCATGCTCTTGAAAGCACTGAACACCAATCCAAATTTAAATAGAGGTGATTTACTCAGTAACCATTAATTTGACAATTAAGTAAGCCTGATGTGCCTCCTACACAAAGAGAAAGGAAGCTTATAATTTTGCTCAGCAGCACTTAAAACAAATGCATGGCATGGAAGACAGCATCACACCAGCATGCTAAAAGAAATGTGGCTATCTGATTTAAGCCAGCAGATAAAATGAAGAGGATTTTATTTATTTTTATGATGTTCCTTTCACAGAGAAGCAACTGGATCAAATGGTCATTGCACAAAAGAGGGATGCTGCTCCTTTCCTGAGGGAGCAGCTGGACCTGTTCAAGAGAAGTTTCCACAAACAGCAAGTGTGGCAGAAAAGGAGAGGGACTGCAGCAAGAAGTTGTGAGCCTGCAGATCAAGTGCAGGCAGAGAAACTGTGGAGACAACAGGCCTCTGAAAGAGAGAGGTTCCTGTAAATGTGTACCACATACTCCAAAAATGCTACCATTTAAAGGTGCAGTTAATAAAACATTACTGGTTTAATCACTCACCACTGGAACCTTCCCCTCATCTCCAAGAAGACAAAGACAACCAGGGCTGAGCACTGAGGCAGAAAAAAACTTTTTTGGCAAAAGACAGACAGGACACTCGTGCAGTATCAGATGTGGTTGGAGGACAAGAATTCTCCATTTTAAGAGGCAAGGAAATGCACAGGGGTTGCATAGCAGGCAATTTTTTGAGGTTCAAGAAGAAACGTTCTATTATAGTGTACCTGTCATGATCCATCCTCATGTCCAAGGGCCCATCCCTCTGCAGGGAGAAGCCTCTTTCAGGTGTGTCTAACTGCATGGAAGAACAGCCAGCATCCAGGAGAACTCCGTCCAGAGTGCCTGGCTCAACCCCAGACGAGATTAACAAAGCCTCTGACTGGCTGAACCTTCCCAGGAGAGGCTGAAGCTGGTTCCTGTAAGAAAGGAACAAATGAATAGCCCCAAGTTCAGTTATAACCTTGCCATCTCTCCCCCTTGCATAGCAGGAATTAGATAATAGCACTCAACTTGTCTCAGAAGCAATAGGGCTATTCCCCAAGTAATAGTTAATGTCTTTTCTTATGCCAACATTGAAAACTGGTCCAGAACACCCCTCAGTGGCTACTTCAGCTTTAACTCTTTACTCTCTTCCTGCTTTATCTTAAAGAAATGGAAAGCTGACTAACATTTAATTTTTTCAGTGAGCAGGAACTGAAGAGGACACCTTCAGCAGCAATGTCCTGACTACTGAAGTACCTGCCCTGCCCAGCAGGGCCCTTAGTAAAGCTAGGCCAAGGTGCAGAAAAGATCTAGAGAAGCAGACAAAATGGAACAAGAGGGCACAACCCTGTGGTTAGTATTTACCCAGCAGGAAAACAATTCCAAGCTCCTGCCATGGGACCAAACACGTTTTTAGTGGCATTTGTCATTTTAAAAATAACTGTGAGAATGAGGTGCACTCAATCACAGGCAGGTTAAACCCTCAGTGCATTTTGGATTTAGGCAGCTGATGACTGCAGAGAGTGGTTTTACATGCACTTTTGTGCTTACTGCTCTTTCTTGGATTCAAAGTGGTTGTTTCTTAATGTTCCTATGCTGACAAGGAAAAGAGGAACGGCAAGGGATGAGGGAACACACCTTGGGCACACACACACACGTGTGTCCAACCACACAGAGCTCAGCAGCACTGGGACAATGCTCAGGATGGAACTCCAGGGCTCAGTGATCCTGGTGGGTGTGCTCCAGGATGTGATTCCATCATCTCTCAGGTTTCCATTGCTCTCTTGGGTATCTAACCCCAAACTTCTGGGTTTTGGCTATATATAATGTAAGAATGTCTTTAAGGACGTCTGTAGGAGTGACGGGGGTCATGCACAGTCGGGACAGGCGGAGACGAGAGATCTCTGCAGTCAGGTCGTGGAACTATCGGTTTATTGCAAAAGTCGTGGGTGCAGGGCCCTGCTGGGAGCTGCCAACCACAGCTTGGAGCAGCCCCCAGAGAAGAGACGCTTAAAGTGTAAGAGAGTTAAAGGCAAAGGTTTAAGAGCGGAGAGCATGTAGAAAGGAGGGGGTGAAGAAGTGCAGAGGAGAAGACGAAGAAAAAGTGAGAAAAGAGAGAAGAGAGCACGAAAAGAGAGAAGTGGAAGAGAGCGAACTTCCCATTACAATACAATAAATCATCTTCAGTGTTGAATATTCAGATTCTCATCAACCAATCTACTACAGCATGCATATCCTATAACATTTCCATACAACCTATAAGAATCACTACATTACCATACTATGTTTACGTTTTAAACCCTAAATCTTACTCTTTGGGCCCCATCTGCCAAGCTGCAGGGTCTGCTCTGACCCTTGGACCTGCCTGCTTGCAGAGGGCATTGTTTCATCAAGAGGGGATTACCCTCAGCTGGCCACACCATTGTTTTCCAGTTGTTCAGTAACTAAGGGATCTCAAAACTTGCTTTCATTTCAATCTCACTTATAGTTTCTATATTCTCAAAATCTTTTGCCAGGCAATCATATTTATAAGGCTTTCCTGTTCCATCCTCCCCAACATATAAGGTGGCTTACAATTACACAATTTATTTAATTGGTCTCTCAAAATCTAAATGGGTTTCACAGACTTAGAAAGACTAACTAACAAATTGCTGCATTTTTAAGCAGTACCTGAAAAGCAGAACACATTTCTGAAAGCCACCGCCTCCATGTGGAGAGGAAAAGCTCCATTAAAATGAAGACACTTACGAATCCAACCACATGGAAGAACACTCAGCTAACACAAGGCTCTCCTCATTAGAGCAGGACAAATCCACCCAGCAAACACAGCACAGTACCTGGGAAACAGTGTGAATGGACAGTGTCCACCAGGGATAGCATGATGGAGCACACAATCTGGAATTGGTGTCTGTCCAGCCCATAACTGAACACAGCTACTCAGCATAATAAGAACTGACAGCTCCTGAAAAGCACAAGGATCCACTTCAGACACTTAAAACAATTTAAGCTACCTAGTTAGATAGTTTTGAGATTGTATTTCCTCCCCAACATAATGAGGGGAATTTCCTTAAAAATGCATACTACTTTTTCCAACCAGGCAGTGTTTCTACCTTCCTGACTTGTGCAAATGAATGAACTTCAAAATTCCATATGTGGGAAATGAAAACTAAATGAGACCTGGATAAAACTATAAATTGCCATTGTCCAGTTCCCCAGCAGCCAGTAATCCATGTCAGGGGTTCTGAAGTAGTGCTCTGCCAACCCATCTGAAAAATTACTCTAAACGTTTTTTTTTTATTGCTATAAATTTTCTTACATTTCTTTAAACAAGCCATAAATACGTGGATAGCTAAGATGTTTGTGACAGCTTTTGATTTGTGATCTGCCAAACTTTTGTGATTAGAAAAGGTTAATTAAAAAAAACAAGTAAATTTTGAGTAAGTAGAAATTTTCTCTTTGGTAGAGAGATGCTTCAGCTGAAAAAAAGTCTGGAGCTTGAAAATAAAAAAAAAGATTGAGAAATTATTAGGTTGACATTTGATGTCAGTCTTTCAGCTGTGTGGAATTACAGCTTCTGTATATAAGGTGTTTGCTATGCACTGCCTTGTGTGTACCAATGATAGATACAGGAATCCTGGTGATTATAAATTATAATTAATTATAATATAAAATATTTTAATATAAAATAATATAATATTAATAAATAATTTATAAATTCTCACTAAAACCAGCTGGTTTTTATGAAGTTATAATGAGTGTATTACAAGGTTCAGGCCAACTCTCTGGATTCCTGTTCCTCTGTGGAACAGAAGACACAGAACAGTTTTAAGCATCTTGGCTCTCTCATACCCTTCCATTAATCAAACCAACTGCACAGCAATGAAAGATTTATCATCTTATGAAGGGAAACACAAATATCAACTCTCTTTTTGGTTGGAGAGTTACGATGATAGTGATGAAAAGGCCTAATCTACTAGATTATAAGCATGACACATTTATTTGAAATAAAATATTTTACCAAGAGTTCAGGACATTTGTTAGAAGATACTCTCCCCTAGTCTACCATTCTTTATGCCTATATTCAAATAAAATCTGCCTGTTACACACAGGATTTCTCAAAATATTCTTAATTTCCCCTCAATTTCCTTTCGAATTCAGGTTTTTATTTACGTGATCTGTAAATCCACTTTGCAGAAAAACCTCAAATAAATAATAAATGAATAATAAAGGTTAAAAACCTTTATATCCCTACAGTCACATGCCTTCTGCTCTACCTAGGTGTGCAGAATTCTTGCCACTTTCTTCTTCACCCTTCCAACATTTTCTTTGGTCAAGAGAGGATTTATGTTCTACGACATACTTACCTAGTGTGAAAATCTATTACCCTTTCATGTCTTAATTTATTGCAAAACCAGTGCTCAGTGGAAAAAGCAGGCAAGGTAAACTAGGGAACATCTGTAAACACCAAGAAAAACAGCCAAGCTTATAGTTCTGAGAGGCCTGAGAGGAGAGAGCACATCCAAACATCACAGAGCAAGACTGGATGGGGATTTTCACCACTGCTGACACCTTGGAAAGCTGCTGGGACTACAAAGGGACCCTGTAATCATTTTAGGCAGTCTTAGAAGGTTAAAACCCGACTAAACCAAGTTGCCTTGCTTAAGAGAAAAGATTTAAACTTGGTACTTGAGCAGTATTTTATATATTCAGAAACATAAAAAAACTATGAAGAGCTTTTAGCTCCTCTCTTATAAATGGAGAAACAAGACTCATAGAGCTTAATATTTAACGACTTGAAGATACCACATAGAAAGCTAAGACAATTTCAGAAACCATGGTCTGAGGATGTAAGAAAGCAGAAAATACCTGTCACATTAGCTCTCCTTTGCGGGGTGGGTATGGGGTAACAGCATGGCAATTTTTCAGCAAATTCCCAACTGCTACAGTCAAGCCATCTCTAACTTCTCAAAATATTCAACATGTTCACTCCCCCTTTAGTAACTTTGACATTCTACAAGAAAAATGTATGTAAGATTTCAAAAGAACACTGGGAATATGGACAACCTGGCCTGCTTTAAAAAGAATTAAAAGTTATTCACAGCAACTAAGGTTGTGGGGCCCCAGTAGATTTTGCTGTGCAACAACTTCAGAAGCTTGCAGAATTCTTGGGAAATAACACAGTTGGAAAATAATACAGAACCTTCAGGGTTCAGGTCCTTTGTTCAGGTCGTAGCACAGTATTTTATTATATTGTGACACATAGCATAGTAATTCTGCTAGACAGGGCTTGATCCACACTTCTCAAGCACAGGAAAGAGCAGAATGAGAAAGAGTTCAACATCTCCTAAAGTATTTCAGGCTCTGCAGGTTTCAGTTAATCTCTGGTATTCTGCAATGCTTTATAAAAATATTTATTTCTCATTTTACTCAGTTGAGAGGGATCCACACAGCAAAAAAAAAAAAAAAAAAAAAAAAAGTAAAGCATTAACACAGCTTTGACAAAATAAATGGAATCTTCTCTCTCATCTAATTTCTCTTGATTGCCACAGACATTGACATGACATCAATCATTCAAGGAATTTCACAGAGATGTACAATGATGCTTTGATGGTGCTTCAGCATTTTTTATGTATACATATTAACACTTGCTCCTGATGTTTCACTATAACACCACTTAAAAATTCAATGTATAAACACAGGCCCATCCCTTGTGAGCAGTGAAAACTACATTTCACCCAACCAGAACAAATGGTTTCTCCAGGAGAAGAGAAAACCAAGTTTTCCAGCCAGCTCTTGGCACTGCACACCAAACAGGGAGACCAGTGTGGTGCCTGGACGCAGTGCCTGCACTGGGATTGCCATCAGGGTGTGATGGTGCTCACAGGGGCTCTGGGATGAGGGAAGGGGTGGAGATCTGACTCCGTGTTTCAGAAGG